GGCTAAGCAAAAATCAAAAAGTATTCAAAATACCAGTAACTTAAATTGAATTAGTATGGATTATTCTGAAAGCTTGAAGACCTTCAACTGCTGCGCAACTTAGTATTCAGCAATTAATAATTAATATTTGCTTAACGCTTCTTAAATGCTCCCATGAAAAAGCTTGTAGAAAAAGCCTTTTCTGTAGATATAAATTTTTATTACTAAAAGTTAAAGCAAAGTAATTTATAGGGAGGCAAGTCTCTGATTACGGCTGCAAGCGCATCAACGCTATCTGTAAAATTCATGAAGGATAAGTTGAATGTGCGTTCAGGAGAGATGGCTATTTTTTCTGCGAGCATCATCTCTGGTATTTTCAGCCATCATCACAATTTGTTCATGCAATTTTTGAAGTTTGCGATATGAAAATGACTTCAAGTACTGGAAGCAATGAGTTTATTCCAGCCATTTATGCGTATACTTTCAAATTTACTTTGAATAATTTTTTGGATACGTGTACTTCATAAGAATCAGGAAAATTTATCTACAGATGACTTAAATTTGGATGTTTCTTGGTATAATGAAAGTAAAAAAATGATTCCTGGTGGACGTTTTCAATACTGGCGGAAAGGGTTTGATTGCAATCTAGAAATATTTGACTGTACTATCAATGACTCGGGTAAAATCACTTGTGTCGTACAGAATTCAACTTTTACTGCTTCAGACTCAATATTTTTACGTGTATATGGTAAGAAAAGTTGACGTAGTTTTGTTTATTTGCTTTTTTATCTAATTGCATGAGACACAGAAGTAGAGTATGCTGTATCTTTTTCGTATTTGCAGTGCCATAATGTATATTTAGTACTGTAATGAAAACGGTCAGAAGACAAAGTAATAACTTTGATTAATTAATATTCCTTGATTACTGAAATAGTATGCAATGCAAATATGAGAATAACTTAAATAGCTCAGTTATTTGACTGTTTATCAATAAAATGAATAAAAAATATGCATTAAAAAACTAAAATAAGCAATTAACAAAAAATTTTGTTGAAAAAACGTATGAAAATAGCAGAATGCTTTAGCAGTTTTGTTTCCAAATTTCGGATTCATTGTCATTTGTAGATGACGATATAGCAGGTGACGAGCCCACATTTGTGAAAAGTTTAGAATACGAAGAAATTAACGGTTGCTTACAGTTGAAATGTCACGTGAGAGGTCATCCAGTACCTTATGTTACCTTTATGTTCCACAATTCTCATCTAATTAACAACCAACGAATAAGTAAGTCCATTCTGTTTTCTATACAAATAATGCAAGCAAACAAAGTGGAAAATATATTTATCCAGATTTTATCCAGATTAGATCCAGATTCAGATCTGATCTCAAAGTTATTCTTCACAATAAAAATTCAAAAATTCATAACAGCTATTTGAAAGATTTTTTACCAAACGAAAACTTCTAAAGATAGATTTCAGTGCTGTAATTTAGGCCTTACCAAAAACTTTGATTAATAAAAACATTCTACGTATTATTACGCTTTAAAAAATAATCGACAGGCCTAAATAGCGAAATCTTTACAGGTAGCAAAACAAACATTTATACTTAATTAAGAACGATAAATGATTAGCAGAATATTTCAAACTATCTATCAAATAAGAAAATTACAGAATTCATTGTTTTATGCCTTCGCTTTAATTATAGACATCATTCGAAGAGAAGAATGCTGGACTTTACGTGTTCGAGAATGTACAGTTAATGACGAGGGTAGATATATAGCTATAGCCAGAAACCGTATTGGAAGAAGTATATCTGATGTCAAAGTTATTCTTCACAATAAAAATTCATAGCAGATGCTTGAAAGATTTTTTATCAAACGAAAACTTCTAAAAATATTACTTTCAGTTAATTTTTACACTTTACTACTGTAAATTAGAAATAAAAAGTAATAACTGCAATGTGCGTCAGATTAATCATTAAGATTTTGTACAGAAAAAGATAGAATTTAATTGAGAAAACTTATAAATGTGAAACGAAAAAGAGCACAAAGTAATAAAATTTATATTCAGATTGTTCATAAAATTTTTATAACAAAATATTTACGTGTTCATACTGTATTTTGTTGATTATCAAATGCATCCATACTACATTCATACTGTATACTTCTTACGATAAAATTTGTCAAACCAGATCTAAAGTTTGCTTGAGATTTCACAGTCATGGTAGGCTTTTTGTGTTACTGATTTTTTATCACTCTGCTACAAACATTTAAGTGTCTTGCAAGTGCTGACGGCTCACTCTAGTCTTGCAGTCAGTCAGGGGTGGTGGCGTTTTGCCTCATGGGGATACGAATGTCCCCTTTTAATGCTACACGTATGGGCAAGCAGTGGAAATAATTGTAGCCTTTAATGGAAAGGCTCTGTATTGCTTGCCCAATTATCAGTTATGGGCAATCTGCCTCTACCCCATTTGTAAGTTTTTTCGTTAACTTTCACTTTTTGTATTTCATATCTTATTCATTAATCTTAACAAACGCATAGTTATTACATTTTGTATTTTTGCCAAAGATTCTTACTATTATTGAAATATCGTGTTGTCTCAGATAAAAATTTTCATTCACGTCATTGTTGTGAGTAGTTTTCACAATTCAATTTTTCAATGCATATATTCTTTTAAATTGTTGCAATGCGCAGTACTACAATTATAGCTAGAAGTGATTCATGAGTTACAAAGCAAAATTATTTGTCCAAAGTCTGTAATTTATTGCTTTCAGAGCCTGGAACTCTGAGAAAACATGGTCGACGCCCACATGGATGCGAGAAGCCTTTTTATAGCATCTGTGGGAAGAAACCAAGCAATTTTTTGGAAGTATGGTTGAGAAGAAGTAACACGATTGATTAAAGGAAGAAGAAAGAAGAATACTAGAATTTAATTTTAAAGAAGTGTTAGAAGCAGACACATTATTTACCACATCTATGTGGTATCGATTTTGGAACTTGTGGAGTGGACTTGCAACTATTGCAAGTCCGGAAGTACGTTCAGCGAAAACAACTTGGAGACCTGAGAAGCGTGTTTTTTAAAGAAGCTTGAGGAAGTTGCGCTGTTTCCGTTACCCTCGAAAGGAAGTTGGAAACAATAAGAATGTTTACATGAATTGGATAAATTTAGAAAATTTGTGCCCATCAAGATGGGCTGAAAGATGCCTTCCTCACGGATATTGTGAAATGGAAGGAAATTGTATTCGCCATATTTAAAGCTGGCGATAATTTTTTCACTCGAAGGCCAAATCCACATGAATTTAATCGATTAATGGTGACGGTAAAACAAAAGGCGTTATCGTCACGATTTTTTATCAGAGCGGATATTACTGTTGTTACAACTCCTCAGAGGTCTCAGAATAGCAATGGTATTATTGCAGAATTCAAATGGATCCTAACTATATCAGGTAAAGCTTTGACATTCTTTTTAGAAACAAATTTGAAAAATTTTTTCTTTTTTCAGAATTGTTGAAAAGTGAATAAATCTAGTAATCATTTTAGTCAGATCAGGTTTTCAATGGTTGTCATTCCTATTTATCAAAGATTCTTTGTGTAGCTCATGTTCTTATGTTCTCATTACAGGTAATTTGATCAACTGGGAAAGAAGTGAATCAGCCTGTTATAATCTCAGAGCTGACTGCATCAGAAATCAAGGCACTCCAAATCGACTTTTTGATGGCACTCAGAAGAGTGATTGGAATACTTTTAACTTAATTGTATTGTTTAATTTAAAATGTTTTAATTTGTTATGCTTTTATCTTTTTGATTCATATGTATTTATTAATCTTAGCAGGGCTTGTAATAGTTTTGATTTATTAATTGCTTTTTATGTTTGACCTTTTCTCTTATGTCAGTTGCTCAATTATTGTTATGTCAATTGCTCAATTAAAATAAATATTAAAAAAAAAAAACTGGAACAACAGATTAAATGCACAGTACTGTTTTGCATTCCTCACTTTTCGAGAGGAACTGGCAGAGGTACCAGTCATTAGCTCCTATATAACTGAGGATATAACTCCTACCTATCAATATGAAGAGAATGCAGAAAACCGTTGTGAGCATCGGGTATATGTCTTGATTAATCTAAAGGCTTCGTATGTATAGTGCCCAACCTGTCATCAGAAATACATGTGCATACATCTGGCAAGTGCAGTGAAGTATGCTTTACCTACCATGTTAAATTATTTGCATTTAATTTATTATTATTAGTTGCTTTGCAAAAATTTTTCCTCTACAAATTCTTAAAAGCGACTAAATCCAACCGACATTTTATTAATCGATAGTGCAGAAAAGGAGAATGACCTCCGTGTAATCTTGGTTTGTTTTGATTAATATTATTGATTACTGTAAGCTGATGCAAAGCTCCATATACCTATCATCATTCTACCGTTTCCATGTACAACACATGATGATTTTTATTACAATTCAGAAAAAAAATCATACAAATAAATGCTTATATTAGGGTAGAGAGCTAAATTTGTGGAAATTTAGCACATAGTCCTTTCAATTAGTATTTCACTGAGTTCGAAGATTTGAACTCCCGAAAAATGTCAAAATTATTCGACTGAAAATTATTTAAACAGAAAAAATTAGTCGAGCTCATTCAAATTGAAATGTATTATGAAATCAGTAGAATCTGACAGCACAGAATCCATATGCAAATTATAAACTTTTGACGATTATGCGCTTAATCAAAGATTACAACGCTTCAACGATTACAACTTATGTCAGAGTTATTGAGGTCACGCAAATATATTTGATGAGGATCTTTTTGCAGAGTATTAATTATCCGTCTGCTTTCATACTAAAACTTCCAAAATACAAAATAGCTATTGAAATGCAATAAACAAGCAGACGAGTATATCACCTATTCTACCTAAAATGTAAAACTCAAAAATAAGGTTTAAGACTTCCTGTTCATCAACAGATGAATTAATTTTTAGTTTTATGACTGTACAGTGTTTTAAGAGCAACTTAGCTTAACGTCAAAAATTCGCAATTATTAATTGTGAATAAACATTTTACGTGATTAGTTAATTAACTAATTTTAGAGCAGAAAATGAAAATTACAAAGTTATCAGCTTAACAGTTAGTATGCAGTGAATGCTAGATTATTTGAATATTTGTACATTTTAATCCGCTGAGCTTCAGCTTGAACTTATTGTTGTTCTGATGGATCAGATATTAATTCAAATATCAATAAGAAATTCACAAGATAATAGCAACTGAGTGTTAAGCATCTTCTTCTTCACTTTCTGCGATCACATTCGATGCTGCCAAGACATCGTGAATATCGGGATATACTTCCAACAAAATCAGCATAAGCGATGCTCCCAAAATTACTGCTCGCATTTCTGCTCTTAGGCTTGCCCGTCTGCAAATTTCAGTTTACAAACATATATAATATTAAAAAATTATTTTATATTATTTTTCTAAAATAGTGTATTTTATTAAGCTAATTTTACTAATTATGAAAAGTTTTACAACATAAATTCCTTCAAACCATTAAGTAGTCTGGTATGAATAACTACTGCAAATAGAAGCGAAATTGTTTGAATATTTGTATTCAAAAATTACTGCTATTATTTGACACTATGCTTACTCGTATCTAATAATGAGTGTTCTGCCGTTCAGAACTAGTTTAGGATAAACTCGAGCTACTTCAGTACCATCTGGATTTCTGAATCGATACGCGCAATCTGTATCCAAAAGTCCAATGCGTTTCAGTATCGTATATATGGATAATAGTTCACTCGACTAAAGAAAATTAGTTCTAGTCATAAAATAAGCATCAAAGCATTAATTAAACCACATTAAGTTAGAACACTTGAATTTTTTTACTGAGAGAAAATATTGACGTAAAATCAGAACACTTTGCGAATAAGAACACGAAAATTTGGTAAATAGCACTAAATTATTTACCATAGAATTTTCATAAAAATTAAATTTTTTTGAAGTTTAAAAAATTTGTATCGAAAAAAATCACAAAATAACAATTGTAATATTTTCACCAAATAAGTCCAAAATTAAATTAATAGTAGAAGAACTTTTTCAAGATTTATTATCGACTGATCTGATGCTAACTGTTGAATCTTAAAGCGCTGTGCGTTTGTTTCACCACCGTTGTATAAAACCTTAATTAAAATAATTATAAATAGTTGTTAAATTATTCCTTTTATATAAAAAATAATATAATACAAAATTTTTACGAAATTTTACAAGAATAATATAATAAAAATTAATGATATAATACAAATAATGCAATATAATACAAATTTTTACGAGATCAAAAAAAGAGCAATTTTTATAGATATTTTTTTAAATATTTTTTAGTGATATTTTTAAAAATTTCTTTTATACTTTTTTAGAAACTAGCAAAAGTTAGTTGAAAAAGTAATTCTGAAGCAATGGCTTTAATTAAATAAATCTGAAAAAATAAACGATTAATAATGATTGCTTCATTTTTTAAACGTAAAAAATGAGGTTTTTATTGCTTAGTATTGAAAATAATTGTCTGATTTACGTTATAAATTGTAGCGCTGAGGGGATGAACGATTCTGCCAATTGATGCCTCATTACTTGTAGGGATTTTGATATCCATTACACGTGCACCAAACATATTTCTCACCTCGTAACCACTACCTATAACTTTTGATTTTTGCTCAAAACTAATATATTTCTATTTTCACTTACAATTTTTTGATGACTTCATTATAAACGCTACCAGTTAATAGTGATAATATCAAAATGTAATTTGCAAACAATACAAGTAATCGTGAATGTTTCTTACTGTCAAAAAATGGACGTAATTTTTATATGATTTGAAATCTAATACTTCCCTCCAATTTGGATCTTTTTTACATGCACTGAAATTATTGAAGAAAAAAACTGTCAGATTCATGCATCGTAAATACTTTTAGTATTAGCAATTATAAAAATGTTTCAGATTTCTAAAATCTGTTCTTAAGTTAAAAGCAAATATTGTATGAAGAACTGAGAAGTTATGTGAAATTAAAAATTGTAAAAATGAAAAGTGTATCGAAAATCAAATAACTGAACTAACATACCTACCAGAAATCAAATCTGCCACCATTATGGACTTTTTATTTTTATGTTCGTCTCGAATCAGGAAACGGATGTTAAAATTAGCATTGTTACGCTCAGTAAAATCCACAATCGTTTTTATTCTGAAATCCAAAAATTAGCAATTATAATTGTTTGAAATTCAATTCTAAGCGTGTAATATACAAAATTAACAATTATTGACCCAAAATCAGTCCATAAATCAATAAATTTAACTGATCTTAAAATCCCTAAAATGAGAGATTAACATGAATGTTTCTAACTTTGCTAGCAAAAGTAGCTTTTTCTGTTTTAGTTCGCAAATATTTGTAGAATATCTGAAATATTGTGCTTGTTACTTAAATTGGAATCACAAGCACCACAATCTCATCATAACCACGCATAAAAGAAAATCCTTTTGATATTACCCCTCACGTAGTTCTAGAAGTAATGATTTTTTAGCATATGAGAACAATTCCGTACTGCTGACCGTAATGTATGGTAATTTTTTGAGACTGTACTTACTCTTACATGTAAAAGATAGATCCTAACCAAACAAGCCTGAGGTTTTCATTCTCAAAAATCTTAATTTTAATTTTTGGTTAGAAGATTTTAGTACTGCAAGTGACAAATAACGCAAAACACGTACATTTGTGTAATACTGGCCACTTTGATGGAGATCTTATCACTTGTCATTAGCACAGTACATTCTGGAATTTCAAATATATTACTGTCAGTACTGAACTGTAGCGCTTTGGCCATACTTAGCTTTACTTGGTTTATCAATGACATTGTGCTGAAATTATTCAAAATTATTAACAATAATATAAATATGTTTTCTACTATTGAATATGAAAGTTTTGAAAAATGATCAAAGTTTTTTGATATATTATCAAAATTGTCGTTTAATTTAATCATTCTGCTGAAATAAATTTAAATTTTTGAATCAAATGGCTTATTATCATTAATTTTTTCAAAGTTTGAATACACATTTAAACTATATATCTGTGTATTTTGGAAGAATAATTGTGATTTCATTGCCATGAAGAATTAACAAATTGAAAATACAGAAATAACGAGTAAAATGCATCAGTTTTTTATACGAAATATTGTGAAAAAAAAAGTAAATTAAGTTAAGTGTGACGCAAAATAACATTTTCGTCACTATTTTCCCAATCATTTAAAAATTTTGAACGATATTAGTTGTTGAACTGGAATTATAACAGTCTCGATCAAAAATACACATACTGCTGTGATGAACAAACTTAATTAGTTTGATGTAATATTGTAATGCGCAATTATTTTTCCGAATAAAACTGATGCTGAAATTACTTTTCCAGGCTATCAGCATCATTTTTGAAATTTAAATAGATTTGATGCTCAAAATGTAGACTAGAAATGAATTGAAATATAGAAAAGTAAATAATGATCAAATTTTTGCAATTAGTGTACATTACTTAAAATATTACACTTATTTATGCATCTATAATATTAATAAATTATTGGTTACAAACTAATTATTAATTTGAGATCAATTTTGTGAAAAAAAGTTTTTGTCGGTTAAAAATTACTGAATAGCGTTGACTTTTACGACATATAAAACTGTGAATGATTGTTTTTCACACTATTTGATGCGTAGTTTGAATCAAATATGCTTTAGTTTCGTTGAAGGAATCAATTACAATGTTAATACTATTTAAATACTGTAGATGATATTGTAAACAGTATGAGTGATCAAAGAAGTGCACTTTCTGAATTATAAGTTGTATTTTAGTTTTGACTTCGAAGTAGTTTTTGTTAAAATTATGCAAGTTAATCATCTTTATCTTCTATAACAAATTATGAATTGTATATAAAGGTGATTAATA